TTTTTTTTTACTTTTTTTTCCAGAAAGCTCTTGAGTGAGGTTGGCTGTGCAAGTGGAATATTTTTAGCAAGTATTCATGCAAAACGACTTAGTCTAATAATTTGCAATGTAAAGTCAGACCTTTAACAAAAACTTCAGGCTAAGCAGATTTAGTTTGGGCAGCGCTTTCTTGCTGATCTCGCTGAAAGGCCCGTGCACCCAGGTCCAGGGATGTTGTGTGGAGAAGAAAGACAACGGTAACTTTTATTTTTAGGGCAATAACAACCCGCTGTGCCTAGAGGATCAAAACTTGAAATGCTTCCACTGTGCAAAGTGACGTATAAATATTTAACCTGGGAGCAGTCACAGGGACCCCGCAGTGAGGACAAGGCTCAGGCCGTGCTCGGCTGCAGCAGGTCCTTGGGGCGAAGGCCTCGCCGGGTCCCCACGCTGTCACCCTCTCCCGGATCCGAGCGAGCTGCCGTGACCTGGGCCAAGGAACCCAGGCACGGGTGAACCCCCCTGCCGCGCTGCCCATGGCCTGGGGGCCGGGACGGCTGCTCCGCCAGGACGGCATTGTCACAAGGTCACACTTTGTCACGGAGGGCTGCACGTGACAACACAGCGTTAAAGCCGGTTGCTTTTAAGCTGCTGGTCCGTAAGGGGTAAATCGAGACCTGAGGCTGCCAGTTCTGCCTCCGTGTTTGGTGTAGACCAGGCTTTAACGTGCCCTGAGCGAATTTGGTAATGGAACTTGATTTGTGATATCTGAGCAAAAAAAGTCTAATAGCAGCCGGGTGCTTTGCATTAAACCATTTCTGTACTTATATAGATATACAAGCACTCAGCATTTACATTATTTTTACTGTGTCCCCAGGCTGCAAAACATTACCCGCTTGTTCAGCCCTGTCTCTGCTGCTCCCTTGGCTGTGGGTGTTTTCAGACCCTCTGTGACTTGTCACTTGTCACCAGGGCCCCTGGGGCCCCTCTTGTGCCCCCCACGAGCGCAGCAGAGTTTATTGCAGCCCAAAACCAACCCCGAGGTGCCAGCGCCCGGGGGGCCGTGTGCTCTGCCCTGCTCCCGTCCCGTCCCGCGGCGCTGGGTGGAGAGACACGACCGAGGAGATGACACGAGGCACTCGGGTTGCAAATAAAAAAAAATCTTTATTGCCTTTAGAAGCAAGTCTTAAAAAAAAAAAATCCATGCACTGTATCCATCCAAGTACCTACATCCTTGGGACTGTCACCAAAAAACGATGAACATTATAAGACATCGACTCTACACTAGTTGCAGTTCATATTCCATACATGTGTAAACAAGGATTATTTTCTCTACTGGAATAGCGATTGCTCCGCAAGGTCCCCTCAGACATGGCAATACCCTAAGCGCTGGGTTTTATCCTTCCTTTCACTCTTCTCCACTTCCCAAAGAGTAGGCAAAGCGGAATGAGACTAAAGGGCGCCGGAGGCTGCAATAGAAAAATAGATTGTTCGCTGGGTTTTAATTTTTGTTCCTGCTCAGCAAGACATTTACAGGTAGGTCCCGAAATATTATCACTGCAAAGACAATTTCCATTCACCGGTGAAGTCTCAGTGGAAAGGGTTCCCTTCAGCTGGCTTTAAGGCACTTTATTTGTGTATTTTCTTTAACCTTGCTAGGTGGTAATTCATAGGGATCATACTTGTCTTGTTTCAGCCTCCCCATCCCCAATTCCTCTTAGAGTAACAAAAAAATTCCTAAGCTTACTGAAGTCCTTCCAAAAAATGTTAAGGAAATTTGAGGAAAAAAAAAGATCCATGAAAAAAAAATACTTTAGAAAGTAATCTTTGGAGATCATTTACTGCAAGTATGATGTACACTACCTTAACAGTGAGAAGATGCAATACATTCCTAATATATATATATATATTTACACACACATATATATATATATAAAATATTAAAAAGACTAACAGATATTCAAGGAAAGGTCGAGATCCTAAAACAATGGATATTAAATAAATTAAAGGTCTATCAGATACAGGAAATAAAAACGAAAACAAAACTAGTAATCAAATAATGTAATAATTGTTCCCATTAACATCATGTAACTGACTGAACAAAATTAATGTCACCAGGTGCAGTACACTTTGTATATAAGCTTTTTCAAGGTTTTTACTAGGGATCTCTCTTTTTCCACCGCGTCCCGCTGCTTTGCTGCCAGGGATCCTCCCTCCCCGTCCTCGCCCTTCCCACGTTTTCCCACTTCACCCCGTGGTCTCAGCTCCAGCCAGGACAGCGGTTTGGAACAACACACAGAATCCATCACGGATTCCTAAAGCGTTCGATCCAGATACGGACCAAATAGAAAAGACAAACATTTCTACAGGACTGCTCGGGTAGCAGGTTGTGCCTCCTCCCTCCCGCTCCTGAAGCTGCCCGGCCACAAGAAGTAGAAGGGTATTTTTAACTGAAGGAATCAGCCATTTGAAAAACTCATCATTGCCACGCTGACTGGTTTTGTTCTAACGCAATTTTTTTAAATAATGGCTATTTTTAACAAGAAGTCGACTCTCCGTAATGCAGCAGTCACAACAAAACATTTCGATACAGCGTTTTGTCACTTTGTTCCAACATTCACGTCCCAATTTACAGAATCCTAGCAACGAAGACAGCAACGGAAAAGGTAGAAAAAAACAATCTTTTGTTCATAAGGAAATTCTAATTCAAGTCAGACTCCTGCAGATCCGTCAGATCATTCTTAAACAAATTTCTGTTTGAAGGCAAATATTGATCACAGTTTTGTTTAAAAACAAAAACACAACAACAAAGAAACCCAACAGCCTTGTTCTTCTCAAAACGAGCTCTTTGTAAGAAAACAACAATGATTTCTAAAATATATCCTGTGTGGTCTTTTAAAAGTGAACTATCAAAAAACATTTTCCCAAAAATAAATTAGATAATTAAAAAAAAAAAGTCTTTTCCAGCATAGCTGGACATTAGGCTGTCCTCACTGAGCCATTAGTATTGCTGCTTTTCCCAAAACTTGGGTCATTTTTTTCAAACCATAGTTCAGCCAGCTGTTGCGTGGACCCATACGTTGAAGCTTTGGACCCCAAGCACATTTTATATTGTTTTGGATCAAGATTAGGGTCACAAAAAACGGGATGATGTACATGGACTACTCCAATTTCTTGGCTTCGGAAAGTTTTTAAGCCAGCTTGAATTACTTTGTTAAATAGGTCTACGTCTTCAAGGCCCCAACCTTGGATGGAGACGTCGAAGCCGCCTGCTCGAAGGAGATCGCCTTTGTAAATACAGGTGATACCAAAGCCATAGTTCCTCCAGAAACCTGTTTTCTGGGTGAAGGCAAAATGATTGTCACTAGGAACTTTTCCACTATAAACAATCTTTGGATCGTACTGGCTAAAAATGACTGGGAAGTAAACTTGCTGACCCAGAACCGTGTTGGCTCTGCACCGCTGGAGGAACTCTGTGGTGAACACTAAGTCAACATCGCAGAAGAAGAGTAAAGACTCGTTCTGAAACTGAGAAGATCCGACTTCCAGAGCCAGGGCCCTGGAGAACTCCCCGGACACGGGCAGGACCTGCATGTCAGCCTTGGGGTACCGGGAGCGGTAATCCCGCATCAGCTCCAGCTGCTTCGCCTTGTCGGGGTTCGAGTTGGAGTTGAAGAGCAGCACGACCAGCTTGACGTTCTGGTTGGGGATGAGGCACGTCTTTTCAAAGTTCCCCATGAACCTTGCAAACATGTCCAAGCGTCCGGAGAGAGGGATGAGGATGTTGATCTTCTTGTCTTTGAGTTCTTTCCTTTCCACTTTCGACCCGGTGAGCTGGAATGGGACAAACATCTTCAGCGAATTGGAGAGGAACGACAAGGATCCCGAATCCTGGTTAATTTTGCTGGCCAGCTCCTTGGCATCCATCTCGTCGTGCTCCATGAACTGGATCTTGCTGAAGGTCTGCTGCAGGTACGCGTGCCTCCTCACCGGCACCGTCATCTTCTTGCCCTTGTGCTTCTTGTACAGAAGCAGCAGGTCAAGCACGTACTCCGCTCCGTACATGGGATTCACCCTGCGATAGCCGTACTGGATTTCCTTGAAATCTATGATCCTCCCGCGGGTCTTGGCGTTCGCGTTGATCATTTCCATGACCTGCATAACGATGTCGTCCAACGCCTCGCGCTGAGAAGAGTCCATCCCTCTCCGAGGGGGCTGTCCGTCGGCTCCGGAATACAGATACTTCCCCGTAAGAAACTCCCACTCCAAGATCTCCTCTCGGTGCCGAGGCTGGAATCTCATGAAGGAGGGGGGCATGCCCAGCTGCAGGTCGTCCTTGTGGATCTCCGTGTTGCTGTACTTGCTCATGAGCACGATCTCCCTGTGCAGCTGCACCGTGCGGTGCCGGAGCTCCGCGATCTTGCGGCTCAGCATGTAGCTGTGCAGCCGGTACTGGTAGGGCGGGTTCTTGTTGGGGTGCAGCGTTATGGCGCGGTGTATTTTGCTGTTCCTCAGGTCTCTGATGTAGCCTTTCTTGTTCTGCTCGTAGTTCTCATAAAACAGCTGCTGCATCTGGAAGAGAGGAAGGAGAGGTCAGCACCTCTGCGGGGCTGCAATTCCCGGGATTTTCAGGCGGGAAAGCCGCCCCGCTGCGATGCTGGGGAAGCCCCTTGCTGGGAGCCGGGAGCTGTCGGGATGAACCAGCTCCCGGTCTGGGCGCAGGCTGCAGCGATGGCAGCTGCCAGGGGGAACTGAGGGGATTATTCCTTGTAAACCGGTGAAGGAAACATCTACCAGGGATTATTGCAGCCCACTCTGGAGGCAGCACCATCATCCAAATACCAACCCAGCAGCAAATAGGCTGTAAGCTCCTTTTTTTTTTTTCCCCCACAAAAACACGGCACTACCAGGGAAAAAAAAAAGCACATTTTCCTTACCAAGTGCTCATATTCCCCTGCTTCCCCAGGCCCTCGTAATAAAGGACACTACATACACGGCAAAGCGCTGTGGGGATCCCGTTCCGTACACCCAGACCATGTCCAGGCACTAAACGTACCGCGTTCGGACACGAGCAGTGCCCTCAGGGGAGAGCGTTAGCCAAGGTGCTAAATTTGCTCTCCAAAGAATGGCATTACCATACAAAAATGATTAAAAAATACCACAGTTCCCCCGTCAGTTTTAGGAAGGTCCACAGAAAATGAAATGGATGTGCAATTACTAGCAGCAGTTCCGTGGGCCAGCGAACACCATGTAAATCTGTATGATGTACGGCTCAAATTCCTCGTTACGGTGGAAATTGCTATTTCAGGAGAGCTGGGATGGCTGGAGAGGCTCAGGGAAAGCCCCCAGTTCAGCAAAGCAGCTCCATGGTGCCCAGCAGGAGCCCACACAGTGAAAGGTGCCCGACGCCCAGGGTGGCAATTTGGGAAACTCCGGAAAAAAAGGAAATCCCAAACCCAAAGTTATCCATCAACCTCAACAGCAGATGTGTTAAAGGAGCACAAGTCAATTCTGCACCAGGCTCCAAATGGCCCCAGCCTGGAGAACAGCGTTTCCTCTCGGATCCGCTCGGCATCGCAGGCTGCTACAGGTGATGTGGTCAGTTAGGGTAAAAAGGTCTCGAAATTCCACAAAGAGCCAAGGTCCAGGGAGGGAACCGCGGTCGGAGCTCAGGGGAACCCCCGGATGGAGGGCGCCCACCCGTCCCTTCACACGAGCCCAGCACAGGCGCCACTTTCTTAGGCCTCCGACCGCATCTGTCCCACTATTGTGGCCAGACACAGATCCACCTGGATCTGATGCCTCTGGCCGAGTGGGGTTCGGAGCAGGGAGGAATTCCAGGTGGATGCAGCCGGAGAGCAGCTCTCCGTGGCCATGGCCCCGCTCCCCGCGGAGGACACGGCTCAGGACACGGCTCAGGATGGCTCAGGACATGGCCTGGGGGATGCTGGAGGCCCCGGGCAGCACCGGCCCCGCACACGGCGCTGCTCCCAGCGGATCCATCCTCCGCAGCGCAGCGGACGCAGCACGAGACGCTGAAAGGGCAGCGAGCAACAGCCTCCGGATTTCAACGTTTCAGCTGCAGGCAGGAGCTTTCCAAAGAGCATTGTGACATGCGATAAATGCGCTTTAAAAACACCTCATTAGAGAGCTATTACTTAAAGGAAAATTGACAACGGGCCTTAATTTCCGGCCTTGTTTTGAATTTGTAAGAGCCCAAATGAAGGCCATGCAGCCACCCCTTCTGGAGCGCTCGGAGCTGCGGGTTACACAACAGCCCCTACCAGGAGCCGCGGGGAGGAAAAAGTTATGGAACGGGAGGGGAAGAGCCGACCCCGTCGCGGCCTCGCTGGAACGGAGGGCACCCACGCGGGAACGGGTTTGCGCGGGCAGCACCCGCTGACAGCGCCGGGCGACGCTGGAGCTGGAATAATCCTGCCGGCTTCGGCTGAAACCTGGCGAGTGCCGAGCACTGAACACGGACTCGGTGTCTCGGCCAGACTTCACGGGTGCTTCAACCCGGAGCAATTTAGACCAGGAAAACCGAGAGCAGCCACCTTGCGCCAGCCAGCGCGGCGACGGCTGCAACAAACCGTTTGCTCCAGTCAGCGCTGCAGCCCGCTAATACGCCGCGCCGCCGCAGCCAGACTTTTACATAATCCTGCTTTTTTCAGGGAAAAAGTGCCCTGCGAGGCTGGCACTTGGGAGATTTTTCCCCTCGGCAGTTTCTCCTCTGCTGCCTCCGCGGCTCCCGGCTCCTTGCGCGGAGCATCGTGCGGAGCGCTGCGATGCGGCGGCTGCGCCGCGCTGCCGGCACCGGGGAGCCCTCGTCCCAGCCCCAGCTCCCTGACACCGGCATCGGTTTTCCCCACACAGGGGAAAAAGAAAAGTCCTGGGTTTTTTTTGCATCCATCTTCAATATTTAGTAATTTCACATCTCTCTCAGTGACGGGGAGAAGGCCGCAGCCCAGCTACCTGTTCTGCCTTCGCCCCCGTGTCCCCGGGCGCTACGTGCCGCCCGGCGCGGGCCGCGGGGTCCTGCCGGGGAACACGGAGGCCAAGTCTGCGCTTAGAGACAGGTTTCCTTGGGATCCTGCAGGAAAAAAAAGGGAGCCTTTCATGGATATTAATTTTGCAGCGATTATATTCTAAGCATGCTTTATTCCCGTGCAGAGCGCTGAGAGCGCGGGGTACAAAGAAGAGCTGCTCTTTATTGACCACTATTTACTCGAGACCTGTCGAAGCCTTAAAAACCCTAATGTTCCCCAAACCATTAGAGACTGAACGTTTAAACTGCGGTACAGCTGTTGTGGGCACTCCTGGCTCGCGTCCAAAAGGCCAACTGAAAGAGAGAGTGTTATGCTCTTCGCTTTCAATGAAGAAGTCTTTTGCAGGCCAAAAAAAGTGTGCTGGAGAAAATGGACTTAAAACTAAGCGCAGTTTATGCAGGAGCTGGCCCGGCGCCACGGAGCAGCCCCGAGGGCTTCGCGCACAGCCCCGGATTGTGCGGGAAGGCGGCGCGGCCCAGGAGGGGCTGCAGGCAGAGCCCGGGAAGGGGCAAACGGCTCCGGCTCCGGCTGCGCTCCCGGCTTGGGCTCGCGGCCTGGCGGGGGCTGCCCTTCTGCTCCGTGTCTGCTCCGTGGGATACGGAGCCCCTCGGAGCGCCGGGCGCCGCTCCCGCAGGGCTGGGAAGCGGCTGCTCCCCCCCCCGGCCGAGCCGGCGGCA